CCATGTTCTTTTATTCCTATATATATATATATATATGTGTGTGTGTGTGTGTGTGTGTGTGTGTGTGTGTGTGTGTGTTCTTATTTGTGTGTATGTAGGTTTTGAGAGTTTTATTATGATTTAATTAAGAGAGGAACAAAACTTTGGGCTAGTATTATTTTAAAGTGAAATGGGCAAAAAAATCGGACCAAATCATTGGCCCAATTGCATCAACCCAGACCAATTGTTGGCTTGCCAAGACCCGGGTCAAAACGACGTAGTTTCATAATAAAACTACGTCGTTTCACTAAATGAAACAAGATCAAATCTTACCCCTCCATTCCATCTTGATCCAATGGATCTCATTGACTCTTGGCCTAGGTATTTAAAGCCTCCAAAATCTGAAAAATTTTCCCATTTCCACCCATAATTCTTTTCTCTTTTTCTCTCTTATCACTCTCTCCCCCCTCTCTGCCACGCCGCCCCACCGCCGCCCGTCGCCGCCGGCCGAAAATCGCCGCCGCCGGCGGCAACCCTCCAATCCACCCTAAAATTTTACCATCTCTTCCCCTCTTCCTCCTCTTTCTACCTATACCACTCATATCCTCCAAATCTCCACCAATCTCCGTAGATCTAAGCCTAACCGAAACCCTAGCCGCCGCCCATCACCCCAAAACTCCAAAAATTTTACACCACCGGTCTCCTCTTCTCCCCCTCTTTCCATATCTCCGACTCAAAAATCAAAAAACCCCACGCCGCCCTAGCGCCACCACCACTGCCCTAGCGCCGCCGCCACTGCCGCCCACTGCCGCCCGTTTCTTTTCTCTAACCGGCCTCGAGCAAGGTTGTGTCGTTGATATTATTGAAACCGGACTCGGATTCACCGGAATTTTTTGGTCTCAAGAATATCAACAATAGAAGCTTGCTCGAAAGTCGTACCACTGCCTATCGTCGTCTCCCGGATGCTCGAGTATATGGTAAAATCGCAATCCCCGCCCCGTTATTAATTTTCTAATTTTTCTTTTTGTTTTGAGTTTTTAGTTTAGAGTTAGTTTCTGTCTTGTTTCTTTATTCTAATCCATTTCTGATTATGTTTGTCTTTGTTAAATCGCTTCAGCGATATCGTGCGTTCCGTTTGGCTTTAATAGTTAATTTTTGTTTGCTCATGTTGGTTCATAATACATGTGTTGAAATTTAACTACATGTTTTAATACTTGGTTTAATTTGAATCAATAGGTTGATATTGGTGTTGTTAAAATCTGAAATTTAGATATTTTGTAGGGTACTAGTAGCTTGCTTTAGTAGGGTGGCTGAAGTGACCCTTTGGCTCCTGCCATAGCAGATTTCAGGCTGTCCTTTCACCTTTTGGACAGCCTTTAGCACACAAATTTAGCCTCTTTTGGACAGATTTTTGTTGAACCAAAATCTGTCCAAAAAGTTGGCTTTTCTTTGCCTATTTAAGGGCTGCCCTTTCTTCATTATAAGGGACTGGATCACACTTCCATAGACATTTTTTAGAATTGCTTAAACACACAAAAATATAAAAAATTTCAGCAGTTGAACACTCTACTCCTGCTAATAGTTTAGCACATTCGTTGTTGTTACTATGGGGTCCTGAAGCACAAGGAGATTTTACTCGTTGGTGTCAATTGGGGGATCTGTGGACTTTTGTTGCTCTCCATGGAGCTTTTGGCCTAATAGGTTTCATGTTACGTCAATTCGAGCTTGCTCGATCTGTTCAATTGAGACCTTATAATGCAATCGCATTCTCTAGTCCAATTGCTGTTTTTGTTTCTATATTTCTGATTTATCCACTGGGTCCGTCTGGTTGGTTCTTTGCACCTAGTTTTGGTGTAGCAGCTATATTTCGATTCA